GACTACTTTGAGCTCTGGGGTTAAACACTAGCTGAAATGGCCTCTGTCTATAAGAGAACCATCAGATAATAATCTCCATTGGTTATCTGCTCTCTTAGTTATCCCCCTCTAACTTTTGAGTCTTTTTCTATGTAGGAAGAGCATGTAGGAACTTCTGTTTCTACTGCTTTATTTAACAGTGTCAGCTGGCATGCTGACCTCTTATTAATATTTGTTTTGCTAATTTAGACAACAGGATAGAAAAGCTCCATAGAGAAATTACCAAGAAATGATAAAGAACACCTTTACTTAAGGATAAAATTGAATTTTATTCTTCTATCACTATCCCTAAACACTTTATATTTTAACCATGCTGTTTAATGTAGGGTAGGTAGCAAATATTTAGAAGTTTATATGTGGTCTTCTAACAGAAATGAGAACAATAATAAAAAACTATTTATATAGTGCTATAAAGTTTAAAAAGTGTCCCTATACATATATTATCTCCATTGCTCATTAAAATGGCATTAAATAGGGCAAGAGGTATTTTACTGAGGAGACCGATGATTGAGTAACTGACCCAAGATCAGGCATCTGGTTAATGACATAGTCAGGACTCGGTTTTTAGTCTTCAGACTCCAGATCATATATTATTTTGAAAATTATCAACAGCTCTCAGAAATTTGTCTCAAAAAATAATCAGTCTGATTATTTTTAATAAAACATTCTAAATTTTAAACAAATCCAAAGCACAGAGATAGATTATAAGCATATTTACCTGAGAAGAAAATTAAGATTTGGAGGACATGTATTCCTGCTTTTTCATTCCATAGTTGAGCTTTTCTCAACCATCAGGTCAGGTGCTAAATAGCTTATATCAAAAAATAAATAAATAAACAAAAACAAATAAATAAAGCTTTATACAAAGTAAACCGATAAAATTGCTATTAGGTTACTATAAGGTCTTTTAACTATTTTGAAATGAATGATTATAGGTATTCTAACTAATTCTTATATTTAGTGTGATCACATTAAGAAAACTTAACTTCAAAAAGACTTTTTAGGCAACTCCCAATTGCTTTTACAAAGTGAAAGGACATAGTATGAACAATATACCATATCCATTTGTCTTGGGAATGATATTTTTATGCTATATGTTTTACCCTCCCAATTGTATCTAATCCCAAAGCATGATGGTGAGGGCTGAGGGAAGGACCTCAGAATCATTTTTGAAAATGCAGCCCGAACACCTAGAATTTGCTATGGAAAAACCACCTTATACCTGCTACCTACTGGGTTAGTGGCTTAGTGAAAAATCAGTATAACCTGTCAGCACCAGGAAGCCATTAGACAAAAGATAAAATGAAAGGAGAAGGATCAGGGTCCAAAGGACACTACGTAACTGAACATGCTAACCAGGGCCAGGGCCAAAGGTGATAATATTATTTCTGTTAGGAAAAAAGGATTAAAAACACAGAAATATCACAAGTTACTGGGAAATCCATTGTATTTCAGTGGATTATGGACTATATTCCAGTGATGCTAAAATCCTGAAATAAGATGCACTCTCAGACTTGGAATTATAGCAAAGATTACAGAGCATCTTTCTTCGGGCTGTCACAGGCTCCCTTCTAGCAGGCATTTTTGGAAGAGCTCTGTGTTAATTAAAAGGCTTTATTTATATACCAGTTTCTCATCTTATCTTTCAAATGTGAAAAGGAATTAAATATGAAATGGCTAATTTAAAATGTCTGGGTTCTTTTTGCCAAGCCAACCTTACATTAAGAGCAGGAATCCCTGTGCCAAAGAAATGGTTCCCAATTATCCCATCCTGGGTTTTGTTATACATTGTACAGAAGTCAACAAAACAAGTATGTAAGAGAACCTGCCTAAATAACAGCCACCCTCATTAAAAACAGAATTAATCAGGGGGTGACTGAAGGAAGCAATGCCTCATAGGTTCCCCCCCTTTTCTTCCTTTCTAATCATAGAACAAAATATGTTACATAAAAGGATCGGAACTATTATGCAGTACTCAATTAGAGGGAGGTGAATAGGTCTCTAACATGCTGTTTTATCAAAAGAGCAGACCGGTGTTTGCATGACTGTTGTTTCATTACAGACCCTGTCATTAATTCCATGTGTCAATACTGCCCTGTAGTACACAGAGCAGACAAGAAAGAAGAGCCCTTGAAAACAAGGGAATGATTTTTGAGTCGTTATCAAGCTAAGTGGCAAGCGGGAAGCTGAAACTCGTATAGGTAAATTCGAAGGGACTCTTGGGAGATCTGCAAGTGGGAAACAAGAATGCATTTTTCCAACTGCTTAATTATGTCCTGTTTTTCAACAAGTACACTTGAATTGAATGCTTTGTTTGTATTGCACAAAAACATGTGCTGTGGGCAAGAGTATTCTCTTGCTTCCAGGTCAAGTAAGGTGTTTTATACACATACACATCTGGCCTATTCGATAATGTGCGATTGGGTATGTTAGTATCTGAGCCCCAATATTGCACTGTCATTTCTGGGAGAGTTGGAACCAGTAGGAACCAGAAGTCCTAAAAAGTAGAACCTTCTTTAAGGTGCTGGGAAGCTATATAAGCCCAGGTATCCCAGAGAACCATACTTACAGGAAAATGTTAAAATATATCTGGGGCAAAAAAAAAAAAAAATAGACCAGAAAAATTTAAATATGGTATAAATTCCATAATCTCCCACCCCTAAATCCTTAAGGAAGTATTTTTTGGTTTCCATTAGCAGTCCCAAGGGCTAGGCTGGGGCAAAAGAGGGTATCCTTCCTTGGACGTGCTTTATCTGTGTCCTCGTGCCTGGCCAAGCCCTTATAGATTATGGTTCCTTATCGTTTAGTAAGATCAAATTTCTAAATGATGTTTCGTTCCAGTTGAACATTCTTGGAGGCTTATCTCTTCCCTGGCCAGATGCCTGATCAGATGAGAAGCCCGCCATGATACTGTCACAGTGCCTAGAATGGGCTCTTTATCCAGTAGACATCACTGTACTTTTTGATGATAACGAGGGCAGTCTTAACTTGTGTTAAGGCCTGTGTATAGCATTGAAGGTAAGTATGAAGGAGTTGTTGCTCTCTGAATATCTTAATCCTGATGCACATTTCAGTATACAATATCTTTGTTTAACCATGATGTACATATATCTGACACCTAGCCATCCTTGTGAGATGGAACCTTCATAACTTAGGACCAGTAACTTCATGAAATGGCCCGTTTATTGAGGGCCATGATTGAATTTAGATCTTTCCTTGTAACCCTTGCCATTGCTTTAATTTACTTTTGTAATCGTTCTAATCATCTGCTGATAGTTTTGCAGAGGTCTTGGTGTATGTCATTGACAATTAGGTAGGATGCTGTGTTTGACTCAGGCTTAGAATATATTGATTAAAAACAAAAACTTAGCAGTATTGAGTTTCAGTGTCTTAAAACCTAGCAGCTTTTAAAATAGATTAAAATTACTTAGTAGCCTAATATTTATGCTCTTAGAATTAGAATAGAATCTTAGGGATCATCTTGTCCAACCCCTTCATTTTATAGTTGGGGAGAAGCAAGCCCAGAGAAGGAAATGACTTGCCCAAGGACACCCAGCAAGTTAGAAGAAGATCAGAAACTAGACTCTAGACCTACTGATCCCCCATACATAATGTAGAAGCAGAATCTACACCAGTTAGTGGTTGGAAATTCCAGGCTTTATGATACAAAAGGGGCCTGACTTCCGCTGGACTGTCAGAATGTCTGATGACGCTGACTCATCAGGGAAATAATTACAGTTGAAATAATATGGGAATGATTGCTGACAAGTGGTTCTCTACCATTCTCATTTATGCCATGACACATGTATTATATTCTTTCAATAAACATGTATCGAGCACCTACTATGTGCCTCATCCTATACTATATACGCAAATCACAGCCAGATAAGACATGGACTCTGCCCTCAAGTTGCTCACAGTCTAGTCAAGAATAAGAAATCCTGGGAAAGCATTATGCAGACTTTCCTGTAGAATGCTAATACCTTTCCTAACCCTGTGGATCTTGATGATGAAAGTGCATCTTCTGCCCAAAGATCTAGCTTTTCTCTTGGTCGTGGTTTATTAGGAGTCCCATAAAAGACCATACATTTCCTTTCTGTTAAGGTGCAAGATAGTATCGACTAAAACTAAATTTAGTTTAGAAACACTTACTGAGGATCTGGTATATGCAAGGCACTGTGCTAGACACATAGGGAAATGAAAATAGTATAATTAAAGCATAGAACGTTTTCTTTTTAATGTATCGGCACTATCGTTTTACAGCTTTCAAACTTTGTAATGAGAATTGTTTTCAATTAAAAAAAAAAAATTCTTAAATGTAGGGCCCTTGAAATGGAAGACAAAAATACCTCTGTACTATAATCGACTTGTCAGCCTAGGATTTCAAAGTCTCCATTCAGATTCTCTTTTGTACCCCGTATCTGTTCTGAGCTTTCTTTTTCCTTTACCTCGGCCAAGCCATTCTGCTTGCCAGTCCCTGCACACAACTAACTCTTGCTTCTGTGCCTTTGCTTGACTAATTCTTCTGCTCTGAGATGCCTTTCTCCCCATGAATCCATGTCCATCACTGCTATTACAGCCTGGCCCTGAGTCCATATCCTGCAAGGAGCCTGTGATCAGCATCCCTATATCCTCCGGTGTCCCTGGCACGTGTACATAGCCCATATGACTGGTGGAATTACATTTCTGTGTATTCATTAATGTTACTCATTCTCTGTCCATATCTTGCTAATCTAGATAAAACAGCACTGACAAAATGAAACAGTGTAGTATAACCAGGCCTTTTATCGGACCTTTTAAGAATGAGTCTCTAGAGCAAAGATTTCGTTTTGCTATTTGTGGGCTGTTAGTTGTATGATAGAGAAGAAGATCAGAAATGTTAAGATAGAGGTTGAAAAGTAAGCCTGGGGTCCATAAGAAATAAGTCATATCCGTAAGTGAACTTCTCTCCTTCCGCTTCCAAAGAGGACAAGAGATCACCTTTGAACAAATTTGAGTTATGATAAGGGGATGTCTGTGGACCGTCAAGCTAGGGAAAGCAGGGCTCTGCCTGTTAATCCTCTCAAGCTTGTTGATCTGCTGTTCTGTAATTCTTTTAATATTGTTTAATGTATGTGTGTTTTATCTTCTGGACTAAAAGCTTCTTGAGGACAGGGACCATGTCTTTTTGCTTCTGCATATTCTTCCCTTACTTAATTCCCAAAGGGTGCCCTAATAAGTTTGGGGAAACTTTCCATAAGCACATACAAGAGGAAATGTAACTTGTGGTTTCCCACGACATTCCCGCCATTGCAATACTTTATGTGTATGGCCTTTTGCTCTCATGACAACTCAGTGAGGTGGATATTTGTTTCCCAGCTCTACAGATAAGGAAATTGAAGTTCAGAGAGTTCGGAGTCTTACTGCTAATGAGTGGTGGATCCAGGATTAGAACCTAGGGCTGTCTGACTCTAAAGCCAAACATGTATGTGTCTTTCATTACACCACAATAATAATATTTAGAACGCCTTTGCAGTTCATAGAACTCTTTCATCTACATTATGATTATTACTACTACCACTATCAGTACTATTAATGCTGCTCCTTACATCACTAGGAAATAGGTAGAGCTAGTAGTATCATCCCCACTTCACAGATGGGAAAACTGAGACAGAGACTTGCCCAAGATCACACAGCCGGTAAGTGGAACAGACTTCCTGGCTCCAGATCTCTCTGTTCCACACATCACATTGCTGCCTTAATTCATTTGCACGAACGCATGGTTATGTGGCCAGGTATCACGGACACCTCTCCTACAGAAATGTCAGTACCTCCAAGCATCCCATGGGGCCATGTGGGAAAGAAAACAATACTCTTAGAGGAACCTCTGTGTTAGTGGAGGAGTGATATCACGCAAAGAACCTGAAAAATAAATGCTTGGGAAGAACAGTTCACAAGTGGGAGTTAAAATATGGGGTCCTTTATTCTATAGATGAATTCCCACAATGTGGCCATAAAACTTTTTTAATGTTCCTAATTATTTCCATTGTAAAATCGGATTAGGGAGTAGAGAGGAAACCGATGGACTCGATTTGAACATACTGCTGGGCTTGACTGAGAAAGCTGGAGAAAGCCAGCTACTTCTACGGCTGGTCGCAGCCCCAGCATCGTCCTGCTGGCAGGGCAGGGCAGGGCACCGGTGTTCGGGTGGCCGGGGTGATGGTGCACCCACGCAGCCGCCCATGGCTATCGCGGCAGACTTTCCCTAGTCCCATCTGCTAATTTTACTTCTGCCTACCCCACCCCTTTACCGCACCTCACCTGACAGTACCGAGTCCACCAACCTCTTCAGACCTTTGAACTTTCTTACCCCTTAATGTTTCATTCCCAGCAGATCGGCCCTTTATCCTTTTGTATCAGTTATTAGTAAATAGTGTCCAATATGACAGAGTCCTTCAGCCCAATCAGAACTAGGAAACTGTGTTATAAAAATATAGGTATGTGTAGTGTATATCAGAGGTAGAGAGAAGTTCTGATGGAAACAGATTATTTCTAACTCTCCACTAAGCATTTCTACCTGATTGTCACGCAAAGACCTCAAGCTCTTCGTGTCCTAAAGATGTCAGCATCCCCCCACCCAATCTGCCTCATTGGCTGTGTTCTTGCTCCAGTGAATGGTGTCACCATCCACATGGTGGGTCATCCGAGCTGGAAGCCACAGGGACACTCTGTTCTCCTTCACCAGCCAACCCCCAGCCCTTCCAGTGGGCCATAGATCTACCTCAGAAATGTCGCTTTTTCTTCCCACCGTCACAGCCATGATCCAGCTTTCTGTCTCCTCACACAGGCTGGTACAATGACGTCCCAATGATTTGTCTCTCTGCCACCAGTTTCCCCCCATTCCACTGTGTCCGCCACACCGCTCCCCATAAAACAGCATGCCCGGGCATCCCGACAGGTGAAAACCCGAGCTCCTTGCTTTGGCATTTAGGACGCTTGACTGATAGGCCCCAGACTACCCTTGCAGGCTTACCTCCTGCCACTCCCCCGGAGACCTTCACCACTCCCCAAACACTGGGCCCTTGCACAGCCTTAGAAGAGCGCGGAGACAGAAACTGACAGTCCAAAAAGGTCTACAAAATCACACGAGTAGATGGGAGCACACAGAGCCCTTCGGTGTCCTTTGCCCGAAATGCTGTCCCTGCTTTGCCTGGCATAAGACACCTCATTGGTACCGTCCCCACCTTCCCCAGGCAGTTTGGTCTATGCGTCTTCTCAGGAGCCGTCACAGCTCTTTGCGATTCTCTTACAGTATTTTACCCCGTTATGTTCTAAGTTACTTTTCATATATATGTTTCACCCACTCAAGGGCAGCAGCTGTGCCCAGGCTTCCTTTGCTCTCCAGTATGTGACATAGTCCCTGGCACACAGTTATTAAACAGCCGGATGCAGGGCGCGCTCCGCCAGTGCAGTTAGAGCAGTTCATCCAGACGTGGTGTGCTGCAGAGCACGAGGCGGGGGTCCAGGAGCCCCGTGTCCTAGATATGTGACCTTGGGTAAGTCACTCAGTCTCCTTTATTAGAGGAGGGGGTTGGACTAAATGATCTCTAAGGCTCCTCCAACTTAAAATTGTACAGTTCTGACCCCATTTCTTGGATCAGGAAACACATTTCCTACTTTATAACATTCGGGAGCCTCAGCTTAGCCAGGCAACCATCCACTGTACTCTGATTTTTCAGACTCTCAGGGATAGTCTTCTGGTGCCAGCCACAGCTGCTTGATTAGGCTCCTCTTGGCTCATCCAGTGACCACTGAGCTGCTCTTACACCGCCCCAGGGTGTTTCACTGTGCCTGTCACACCATCACCTGCTATGCGGAGGTGCTTCCCAGGAGGGGGCCCTTATTTGTGCTGGCCTCAGGGGACCACAGCAAGGAGGCAGAAGAAGAGGTTTTACCATTTCCCTTCACTCTAGATCCCACCAACTGCTGCCGTGTGGGTTCCTGGTTCTAGCCATGTTTTCAGGGGGTGACGCCCATTTCCATGAGAACTAAGTTTTAAGTAGCTCATGTCAATCCAGGCTGCTCTGAAAGTACACTACTGACTTTCGGGGGTGGGGAGGACTAGAGTTAGCAACTCAACAGGTACATTCGCCATAATCTCCATGTAATAAGTAAGAGCCTATGAAAAGATTAAGTAAATCTTTCTTAATGCTTTTTGATTGGCTTAATCAATAATTAATCATCTTTAGATGAGGCTGTAACTTGTGGAGTAGATATAATTGGATTAGCTGAAAAGAGGCAGTTGGGGAGCTTTGAAGAGATTAAAATGGCTGTCAATGCCATAATTAAACTGCCACAAACAAAAGCAGTGGCACTAAAGAGAGAGAGAGAGAGAAGGAAAGAAAGGGGAGAGAGAAAGTTGGGGGAGGCCAGCTGATTCGAAATGAATCAGTAAGTACTTCTGTATCACAAGAGATTGGAGAGGCAGATCAGATCTGACAGATTTATTCCATTGGATGAAATCACACATATCGAATCAGCCATTTAATTGTATGCCTAGCCCACTGGGGCAGGTGAAATTTTGGTAGCTTCAACTTAAAACGAACGAATCCACAAAAGGAAAAAAAAAAAAAAGTTAATTATTAAAAACAGAAGAGACCTGCTCCTTGTCCTGAGCCCATTTAGACCTTGACTTTTTCTACTTTTAATTGGCTTAGTAGGTTTGGCCTGTGTGAATGAGTCTTTTATCTCCCTCTTTTTCTTTCCATGCCCCTTTCATCTTTCCTGTTACAAACACACAGAGAGAACTTGAGGAAAAATACTTTGGTTTTTTAAAGACTTTTCTTTTTAAAAGGATGTGGATTTGGGCAGGGGGGAGGGATGTGTGTGTGATGCTGGTGAATACTTTTTTTTCTCTCTTTTATCTCTTTTTCCAGGGAGGAGTTGCTTAAACCAATGGGACTAAAACCTGATGGGACAATAACGCCTTTGGAGGAAGCACTCAACCAGTACTCTGTCATCGAAGAGACCAGCTCCGACACAGACTGAAAGCATCACCTGCTCAACTCTCAATATTGCTTTTATCAGCATCTTTTCTCTGTAGCTCCAGGGGAATCTTTTCTCTAAAACATTTATGCCCTTGCTTTGGCTAGAAACACATTAACTGGTTTACTCATTGAGAATCCAGCATATTTAAGAGGTGATCCTGTGTTTTTGCAATATCGAGGCATTCATACAGAGCTGCAGTTAGACGGAGTCGCAGGGGCTAGAAGCAGAAAAACAATTTCCATTTCATCAGGATGGAACTGAAGGACTTCATTCTATAAAGCAGCCTCGGTTGAATCTGGCAGATCTGTTTGCCAAGATTCTTAGCAGAAGATTTAGCCGCGTCCTCCTCTCACTTGTGTGAGCTGCCCCCTCGGAATCTCTCCAGTGGACCGAGGCACGTGACAAACAGAATGAGCTGCTTAAATAAGGGCTGAGGCAAGTGACTCGTTAGATCAGGACTGACTGACTGGAAGCCAAGCAGCTGCTCCATGCACCTAGCCCCGCTCTTCATTTCAGTTTTGTAAAGACATAGAAACGCACACAGACACACACACACAGCCCCAGACTTGCAAACTGACTACACTCTAAAAGTTTGTATGTCACCTACCTACAACTTCAGAATACATTTCTCCCTATAGAGAGTTATAAGTGACGGTTTAGTTCTGAGGCAGCTACAAATGCCTATTTATTCCCTCACGTACCTGAACACTAGTACCATAGAACTGAACCCCATCTGTATCACTGCATGGGGAGCATGCATTCTGAGGTCCAGCTCGGGGTGTCAGGAACACGTCCTCCAATCCAGCAGAGGGAACGGGGACCCCCGAGTTCTTTTGTGGCCTCTGCTGGTGGGGGGGAGTCAGTGGCACCCTTCTGTACATATAGGTCATTCATATGTCACGTTTTAAATTGGGGACTGTGTGTGTGCCGATGTGTGTGTGTTCTACCTTTCTACCATGTGATCAGTTTAATGGTAACCTTATTTATTTAAAAAAAAAAAAGAAACACAAATAGTTACTATTAAACTGATTAAGGCTGTTTATTTTTACTTTTAAAATTGGTCATATGAAGTAGAAAATGAATCATGCAATAGACGGTGGGCCTAGTTAATCAGTGGCTAAAGTTGAAAAGAGGTTGGCTTCCTTGTGTGTGTGTGTGAGAGAGAGAGTGTGTGTGAGTGAGTGAGCATAAGCGTGAATGAGCATGAGTGAGTGCGTACATGTATGCGTCTGTGTATGTGTGTGTATGTGTGTATACATACATACACATAGATAATGTGCTTAACCACTGCCTTTTAAAACTTTAAATTAAATAAAACATTGGGGTTGATTCAATTTAGCCATCTGTGTGTGTGTTTTTTATAGATATATGGGATAAATACTGTTCCACAGTTCATGCTTTTTTAAAGTGCTTTTTACATCAGTTATTATCTCACTTATCATAAGGGCCTTTTTAAGGATAGGTAAAGTACATGGAATGTTAGCAAAAATGTTATTTATTCAGAAGTCACTTCTCTGGCAAAACTACAAATCAGGAACTGAGGTTTAAAAGGCCTTTGAGCCACCAAAATAGATGTCACAAAATTTCTCGCGGTTTACTCACAGGAGCCTCAAGAATCTCACTTTTTGCTTCTTTACTAAAATTTGCATTTCTAACATCTTCAGTTATCTGGCTTTCAAGCCCACAGAAAAACAGCAAAGGAGGGGTCTGCTAGATCGAAGACAGGCCTACTGCAAACAGCAAAAGGCAAAAAAACTGGATAAAAAGACAGAAAATGAAAACTACTGGAGGCATTGCAAACCTGAGATAGTCTGTTTTTCCAAAGGACACTCTAGCTGACCCAGAAAGTATCTGTACAGCAGTATGGCCCTGGACTAATTCTCATAATGATGACCCTGAGTGTCTTTTAAAAAAATAATCTAGAGTACTTTATAAAAAAGCTAGGAAGAATACATTTTAGGATTTTCATCCAAAACACGTAGGAACAGAAGTTGTGACTCATGTGTTAACAATAGTAGATAAAAATGAAACTTGGCAATTCATAATTTTAGATTAAGTGAAAAAAGCTTAGAAGACACGAATTCAAGTATTTTTGTTACGTCCTTCTACGAATGCATTTTTAAAGTATTTTTATAATTTCTATAAGCAAATAGCTTTGGCGTGAGTGTCAGTGTCCCTAAATGAAGAGGCACTTAGTGAAACAGCGTCCTGTCAGCTTCATGCAGAGTGTTTGAACAGTCCCGTTTAAGTGGCTGTGTTCTTCTGCCTTCAGTGAGTTCTGTCTCATTTTCAGTTTCCCTGCCCTGGGCACTAAGCTTTGTTTTTGAAGAAAGAATTTGCGGGGGGAGAAGTTGAGAGTCACCTCATCTTGCACACGGAAAGAACTAACATCTGTTGCGTGTTCACTTATGTGCTGGGCTTTTTATGTGTGTGACCTCGTCACCTCATCACATCTCATAGTAGAGACCATCTCTAGAAAGCCCCAGTAAGTTACCCAACGCCACGTGGCAAGTAAGAGTCTGGCTCCAGCCCACCTGACTCCTCCCACCTCTCCCCGCCACCACGCGGCCCACCTGGGCCCACATCGCGCCTCCCTTTGACTCTGGAATGCTGGCAGAGTGGTAATTCTCAGGCCATTTTAAGCAATAACTATTTCAGCAGAACCAGTTTAGAGAACTTTTTAAGTTGGGAGGTGACCTGGACTTGGTGAGGGGAAAACTTGCTCAGCCTGTACCGCATCTCACATAAGGGCCTGGAGTCCTTTAGGTCAGAGACCGGGGCTGCAGGCTCCCCACAGGCGTGCGGGGCGTCAGTGGCCTGCAGTCAGGATCAGCATACACTGACCAACTGCACTCTACAGGCCCCTGTGTCCACATCCCTCCCAACCTTTGAAACAAGGTATGGGGGAGTGTCCTAAAATAAGGCACGTGAGATGCTGCTATAGAGTAACAGTCCCAGACACTTGAGACCCCTTACACACCCAGTGGTCCTGGGATGCGGGCCAGACAGACCTTACTATCCCTCTGTAAACAAGGACACAGGCTGATGATGTGCAAGTACTAAACATCCCCCATCACATTGGTCTTGCCACCTCCCAGGTCTAGGTGTCACCTGCATTGACTTCTTCTTCCCCCCAATTATAAAAGTAATATGTTCATTATGGAAAGTTTAGAAAATAAAAATAATTCACCCCAAATTCCATCACCCTGAGAAAATCACTGTTAATGTTCTAGTGTATTTCTGTCCCGTGTTTTTCCTATGCATATATATTTTACTACAAGATTGGGATCATGCCGTATTTATACATTTGTATCCTGCGTTCTTCTTTAACATGTTGTTAGCATTTTCCCATGTCAATAAATGTTCTTCAAAAATTAATGGCTATGATATTCCATTATACGAATTGTGGTAAACAGTGCTAATTGCCTACCCAGTGTTATTCTTCCTAAGAGAAGACATTATGACCTAGGCCCCACTTCCCAAAAAGTGCCAGCTGTCCTGGGAGGCAGCGTGAGCCTTGTCAGCACTGAAGAGCGACAGGAAATAGGAATGGCACCAGCAAGAGCAGACCTGCTCTGCCACACAGCCCCAGTCTTACAGAAGCCACGGGAGCACAAATCATCATACAGTTAAGCGCCTGGATAATTCTACGGTTTTTGTCAAGGAGAAGCAGTTGAAAATAGCAAGGGATCCAGGTGATTTAAAAGTCAGCATGCGGAAAAAAAAAATGATAACAGTGTCAATAGTGTTTACTGCTGTATAGTCCAGTTATTGGCATTAATTGTCTTGGAGGTATAATTTATGCAATGCCAGAAGTCAAGGAGGATACACAAGGATGGGAAGAGACAGGTTACTCTCACAAGAAAAGCAAGGTGACACCTGTCAGAACTTTGGGGTATGTGGCGAGCACATATGAAGAAGGAAAAATGGATGGTGTTCTAGGGACAGATCATGTGGGTGCAGGAGGAAGAGACTCAACAACTGCCCTTAAGTGAGAAGTTTCAAGGAAAGGAAGAGGCTTATAGAGAGGGGACTTGGAAGGCTGTGACTCATGAGCCCCCCCCACACCAAGGCTTCGAGAAGCATCAGAGCAGCCTTTCTTAAAGCGGGGAGGGGACTAAGCCTTGGTGTCCTAAATCATGCCTTGTATATAGTGACTCCGCTTTCCTGTGCATCTAAATGGTGTTAGTTATATAGCATCCTCAGGGGAGGGAAGATATAATCGCTCCAGTCATCTTTGGAGTTCTGTTTCAGATGAACCCTGGTCGAGAGAGACTATCCGAAAGGGAAGATCAGAATTATTCGCCAGGACTTCTGGAGTCAGATTTGCGTTTTCTTTTAATCGCACACAGTGAAGATCCTGGGCCATAAGCTCCAGCTGTCTCCAGGTCTCAGAGGCTTTACCTTTTCTGCATGGAGTATAATTAGTGCTGTGTATATTTATTGAACAGTTACTATTCCAGACACTGCTAAACGCCTTACGTGCACTTTCAAATGTCATCTTCACAGCAATACTATGAAGTACTGTTAAAAGAACTCCCACTTTTCAGAGGAGGAAACTAAGGCACAAGGTGTTAAGCACAATGTGAAAGGCACATGGCCGGTAAATAGCAAAATCCGAACTCAAACCTGTCTGATGTCCATGTAAACAAATACTATGCTTTGTGTTGCTTTTGCAATCAGAGAATAATGCAATAAAGTTTTATTTATTTGAAAGAAAAAAAAGTCAGAAGAGGGGAAAAGAGAATTGGGAAAATTTTAACACATTTTTCCTTCATTTCCATCTCTCTGTGATACACAGAATCCCACTCAGGAGCTAATCTCAAAGAGGGGCTCATACAAGTGCACCGATCCACATTAATTTGTTCGACAAACATGTATTAGGCAGCCACTCTGTACCACGCATTGTTCAAGGTGCTTGGGATGACTAAAAGTCCCTGTCCCCAAAGCACCCACAGTGTGAGAAGCCCATAACCAAAGCCTGTTACAAAGTGCTCTGGGCTGCCAGGAGGACGGAGAGGGCTGAATCACAAAGTTTCATAAGTGACATTTGAGCTGCGCCTGAGCTTGTCATGCACAGGAGAAAAACTGTTCCCACCAAAAGAACAGGCCCAGACAAAAGCTCACGGGCAAAAGGTACTTGACGTGTTTACAGAACACAAGCAGTTGAGTGTGATTGAAACAAAGGCCCCTGTGTCCCGCGATGAGGCACAGAAGCGGCAGCATTTCAGGCAAGGAAAGGACACAGCCAGAAAGATCACCCCGGCTGCCTGCCGTGTGGAGAATGGGTTGGAGGAGGGACAGACAGTAAGAAAAGAGATCGGGGAGCTCGTGTGAGGGGTACACAGGGCCAGACTAGAACAGCGGCAGCAGGTGTAAAAAAGGGGGCGGAGTCAAGAAACCCTTAAAACCCGGGATAAACACAACTGGGTGTTGGAGAACAGAAAGCTCATTTAAACCCAGGTGAGAATGACTTTGGGGGAAAGATCATCTAAAACACCGGCTTCCCCACCTATGAACTCAGCAATTCTGGGTTTGGGAGACGAGTGGAACCGAGCTCAAGGAGTCCACAAATTTGTGCGGGCACCAAGCATCACACCCGGTGAATAACCAATGCCTTGGACATTGAGTACTTTTATACATACATATGGACGTGATGAATAAGAGTCCACTCATAAGCATTACTCAGTTCATGGTATCCTTTTGACCACCTGCGTGACTATGTTTTCTCAGTCAGAATATACTAATGATAAATAGCTATCACGTGAGAAGGTCTAGAAAACTCAGGCTTAAAAAAAATAAATCTCATAATTGAAAAGACTTAACACTCATGGTAACAAGTATCAGAGACTCACGTCGAACTAGCATAGTAGTGAAAGAACTCGGGGGCATCTGTTTTATAGGAAAGAGGAGATGAGCAACCAAGCCGTGGGGAGATAGAGTGTGGTCTCCACCACAACCCAAACGTAGGACTTGTTATATTACACAGGGAAGTAAAGGAATTTATAAAATCCTTTTTTCACAATAAATGATAACTTTCGAGCCTATT